TTTTGTTGTGTCATCTTCCCGTTTTACTTCTTTTTTTTTTTTTTTTTTTTTTTTTTAAATTATTCAACATTTGCACTATAATTTTCATTCTCACTGGGCCACTCTATAGACTACTAGCAGTCAAGCCCGGCATTGCCCAGGGATGTAACAGTAAGAGATAGATCAAGTATCGACCATCATAAAGACTGAAAAATAAACTTGACAAAGATTATTGTTTAAGGTTGACGAACACACATGTCTTAATTAGTTTTTTTGTTGTTTTGTTTTTTTTTTGTTTTTTTTGGTTTTTTTTTTTTTTTTTTTTTACGAATTGGTCAAACTCAAACAAAAACATTGTTTTCAATCATTATGAGTCTACCGATTGAATACAATTGTCTTGTAAATGCATTTTTTAAAGCATTCTGAATGTAAAAATAAAGAAAAAAATGTGCAAGACAATAAGAAACACTACCTGCCAAAAAAAAAGTGAAGTTTTGTTGAAATCAGTTGAAAAATGTATCCATATATAAACAAACACTCACACACAAACAACCTGGGTTTTATAATAAGTATAACTCGATATGAGTCGTCCCCCTTTCATTTTCGACAGCGATGCCTCTTAATCATGTTTTCAAATTGATTTCGTACAAAAACAATTGTTTTTTACCAATTTTTGGTGCTGTCAGAACCACCGCAAGGTAATTTTACGTAGTCCTGTGAAGTTTTGTTGAAATCGGTTGAAAAATGTAGGAAATCCGATCCAATATATAAACGTACAGACACACACGTACAGACACACACGCACAAACACACACGCACAACCTGGGTTTTATAATAAGTATGATTATCAATACATATAATTCTTTTCAGTACCAGGCATCTCCAAAATATCTTTGTTTTCCTCATTGTGTCTTTCAGGCACTCCATATTTGAATATTTAAAATTATATGAAAAACAGTTCTGGATTGTCTGTCAATATTTCTGAGATGAGGTATTATGTACATTATTTACATTATTCGGACTGCTGTCTTCATCTTTGTCGCCATACTTATCACAACGTTTTCGGGTACCCAGATGTCCACAGTGGATAAAGGCGTTGGTTAGATCCAGTGACAGGACCCGAAGAGTGTGAGTTCAATACCTGGTTAAGGCAGTGGAGAACTTTCAGAGGGAAATTAGCAGGAGATAACTGATAACTGACATCCATCAAACATGGCACGTGGGACTAGAACAGTGTACCCCAGTGAGCGAAATAAAGGGTTCAGTTCAAAATTCCAACCACCTGAAGAAGACTGGAGCGTACAACGGCCGAAACGTTGTGATAAATATGGCGACAAAGATGAGGACAATAGTCGGAATAATGTAAATAAAGTTCTGGATTGCAATCCTGTTTATCTTTGACTTGTATTAGACATCAATGTGTTTGTCAGAATCACAGGTTATGTTTCTCTCTTTCTGATCCCAAATTTTAATTCCTCCTCTATATTGAATTATAATTTAGAAACTTTTGTTTTTTGTTTTTTTCTGACATTATAATTTTAGTGTTAATTACTGAAATGGTTTGTGAAACCAAATGTCTTTATTAATTGTAATCAAATGAAAAAAAAATCTAAATTTTTATGATTCATAAAACTACAATTTAATTTAATTACTCCCCTGGAAAAAATTCATTAAGATTTTGTCATGTCTCCTGTGAGAGTCAAATGACTCCCATTTGAGAATACTGTGTAAGAGAATCTTTTTTTCTATTTTTATTCTATAAAAGTAATTTTCTCCAAGTGACAAATCTTGACATATCATTTTTTATTTAGAGGTTGAGAATTTTATATACACTAAATAGCATATAGAATTGTATCTATACTCTAAAAGGCTGTTCAAATGCATTAGAAAACTGCCTGACTGAATTAGCAATGATTAATCCAGAAATTGCTTCTTTTTCATGCTGCATTTATTAAAAATTCATGGCAGTTCAAATAAACAATGAACACTTACAAATATACTGGATTTGATCTGGCTTTAAGATTTGGCTCAAATAAATGAACCTCTCCTGAATAACTAATGACCCAATTAACCAGAAATATATAAACATGCAGATCAAGTGAAGATTTTGTATCAATTGCAGAAAAGCTAAATTTTTTTCTAAATTAGCATTTTAAATTAGTTAAAAAAAACTTTGATGGCATTTCATCAGTTTGTTAGTAGCTGATACTAAAATTTAATGAATACACTTTTTGTTGATAATTCTATCCTTTACGAAAATTATGGAATGAGCACAATTGAGGATGTTCACCTTTGTTTATTTTATTTAGCAGTAAATAGACAAGTAACAGATAAGATGTGTGATAAAAAAAAATAAGCACATCCCATCTCTTTTCTCACTTGTAACCATCCATCATAATACAATAATTTTTTTTTCAGCACTAAAGCTGAATGAGTCAAAGCTTCATAAGTGGCTACTTAGTTGTCACTATATTACAAGATGCAAAACATTTTTCATTTATTAGCTGAACATTCTGCTTACATAAAGCATATCTCAGACAAACCAGATTAAATTATTTAAATTAGCCTGGAAAAAAAATTATACTGTTATGTCAAGGAGTAAGCCAGTATTGAGAAAAAAATTATGGAATTCCCTGACAAAAAATTAGAATTAATACTTAGTTGCTTCACTATTAACTATTTCAGGCATGGTTTTCACTAATTTGAAACAATAATCTTCATTACTTCCCTCAAATGGTGTTTTAATAAATCTTTTTTAGCAGATGGCTACTTCCCTGGGTATTTTTTTAAAATTTCCACCATAAATTTTCAATTTCATTTAGATCTAAATTATTCAATAGCCATGTTTATGGATTCTTATATTCCTTTCTTGAAGAAAAGCTTTAATGCCCTTTTGCTCTGTGACAAGATGCATTATCATCCTGAAAAATGACTTCGTCGCTAAGCCAATCTTCTGTCAAAATAATAATAAAATTATCCAGGATTTCAATGTACTCATGTTGTTGAGGTAATGATTGCCATTTTCCCTGATCCTTTAAATAACATGCAATTTCATATCATAAATAATTTGGTAAATCTATTTGTTTTATTCAGGCAGTCATCTTTGTTTCATTTGAACAGCACCAGACAAAAATTCCAGTATCATTGCCTTGGCCAATGCAGATTCTTTATTCCTTATGGAATATCACTTTCTTCCAATCATCTACATGCCATGATTGTTTCTCTTTAGCTCACTTCAACCTCATTTTCTTCTGTTTCTATGTTAGTGCTTGGTTTTTGCTTAGCTTTTCTGTAGGTAAATCCCTGGTTTTTTACCGTTCTCTCACAAACATTGACTCCTGTTTCAACCTATTTCTTTTCTATTTCTTTTGTTGTACATTGTCTATTTTCAAGGCTTATTGCTTTGAGTTCTCTATCCTCATACTTTGTTTACTTTTGGGGTCTACCAATATGTTTTCCTATTTTAACCATCCCATTTCTTTAATGTTTGCACTAAATTCTAGACACAGCTAATTGGGAACAGCCAACGTCTTTTGCCACACTCCACTGTGGATTACCTTCTTGAACAAGTTTTACAATCATTTCCATTGTTTCAATTGACAGTTGTTTTGTTGAAACCAGGTTTCCTTTCAATTAGATATGTTCAACCACTTGCTGAAATCTACAAGAACTCTCTTTTAACTTCACACTGATTTGCATATCTCAGCTTCTGCCAGAATTTGGTTCAGGAATGTAAATTACAAGATCATTCCATAATTTTTTTCTCAACATTGGGTTATTCCATAAAATTTTCCTCTACATGGTTAGGAAAAAAAATTATAACATAAATTTAAATAATTTAATCTAATTTAAATTATATTTTATAAAGCAAGAAGTTCAGTTATTAAATAAAAATGTTTCGCATTTTATCTGTTATTAGTTTATTTACAGTGACCCCCCCCCTTGCAATTTCAGCATTCACAGCTTCACACATTTATGGATTTTTCTTAGAACATATGTACTTGTTATTTGCAGAAACCCTGAATATTCACACATTTTTCTGAAGAACATATATACAAAGTATTTACTGAGAACTCCCTTGATTTGCATATTTTTTTCAATAGAACATACTTAAAATATTCTTGTATTATTTTCCTGTTATTTAAATGACTTAAAACACATAACAGCCCATTTTTATGGTAAAAATTGGCAGAATTGCACATCTTCAGTGTAAAAAAAAAAAAAATAACAACAAACACAAAAATATGTGTAGTGCTTGGGTTCTGTTCTTTTGTTGGTGGCTGTGGCTGGGATCTTAAAAGTAGCTTATGCTAAGTCTGGGGACATCATCACAGTTCAGTTTTTAAAAATGTTTTAAACTTTATATTTTATGTCTTGTTACTCATATTTTATACAGTATTTTCAATGGTTATTATCGATCTATGTGTAATTAAAAACGATTATTGTATGCATGAAAGAAAATTTACACTAAGTATATGGTTACCAATACTATTTTTCTAAAATGTTTTAAAAAGGGTTTATAATGTTTCTAAAGTGTTTAGGGTGAAAGTTTAAGGCATATGGGGTTTTAACAATCAAAATAGGTACTTATAAACACTTTTAGGGGGTTAAAATTATTCATAGATTCTAACTATTCGCAGTCGGTTCTGGTCCCTAGCCCCCACGAATATGGGGGACTCACTGTACTGCTAAATAAAATAAAAAATATATATAAGTAAACATCCTCTAAGTGTGCTAACTCCATAATTTCTGCCAGAGGTTGTATACTGTTTGTTTTACCCTCTGTACTCGACCAATTATATTTCTAAAAAGAAATGATTTACATTTCTTATATTTCATACATAAATCTTTTAAGCAGTTGTGCCTAAAAATCTATGTTTAAAAATTACAAAATCCAACATCAAAAAAAAAATTTAGCTAGATAGGATTAAAAGAAGATAGATTCTGAGGATTATGTAAATTATCATTAGTCTTAACTTGTACAGTGAACTTGGGCCTCATAAATATTCTATATGGATAAGCCTGACAGATTTCTTCTTTTTTTCTTCTTCTTTTCCTCACTTGCCTTTCAAAGCCTCAGATTAAGTTTTATGATTCAGTGCTCTGAACAGATAACCCTGTCCAACCATTTGTTTATGCCTGATATTAACTGAAGATGCTATAGATAAAAATAACCCTTTCTAAATAACTCTAATGTAAACAATCAGACAACACTGATAATCTTCATTACCAACTGTTTGCTAGATTTTCTTTAGTAGAGCTTGTTTGTAGATTTCTCTGCCACAAGAACTGCATGGAAGAAGAGACAGCTGTAAATGATAAATAAGCATTCTGATCAAAAGTTTGCAAACAAATGTTTTGGTCTAGTATTTCAATAAGTCTACTTGTCTTCCTTGAAAAATCAGCATTTCAAATGCTAATTTTTGATCCAAACCTAAACACCAACCATTGTTACTGGTGGGAAATGCACAACTGTCTCTTTACCAATCAAACAGCTCCAAACAGTAATTATAACTCCTTTTCTGAGTGAACAGTTTCATTCATTCAATGGGATGTTTTCCAAAGGTTTTGAGCCAAAAATTCTTAATGACATGACAGCAGGAAAAAAAAAGATAGGTTTTTAATTTGATTTTAAAAAAAAAAAAAAAAAAAGTTGCTTGTATGGGTGGTATAATGAATAGCAGCTTGGAATGAGAAATCAGAGGTCCAAGTTCAAATTCCAGCTGTGTTCGTTAGATTCACTTATGCACAAATAACATTGGAATGGATCCATCTCCTCCTCCCTCCTATGGCCTAAATCAGGAGTGTCCAAACTTTTTTCAAAGATGGCCAGATTTGATGAGGTGAATATGTGTGAGGATCAACCATTCTGTTTGGCATTCTTTGAACCATTAAAATTAAATGCAAATGACCTATCTTATGAAAATTCTATTGCAAATGGTATATTTTCATTTCTTCACATGGATGACAAATAAATGGATGACAATTAAATTTAAACAGGTCTTACCAAAATCACTCAGCCTTTCTCATATAAGCTCATAAGTAAAAATATGTCTGAGAAAAAAGAACTTCCAGGAAGCTATATCTCAGGTTAATCTTAGAAACTACATATTATTGGTAATTATTGTTGTCTGTCAACTTTTATGTTAAAAACATATGAATCAGAACATAACACCAACATTCATCTTATCAAGAAGTAGAAAACAAAGTTACACAAGTCCAAGCATTGAAATATATTTATAACTGATTTTGACCAACACAAAACAAATTCACTATGATTTTAGAATTTATTAATCTCAGATGACCAAAACAAATAACCTGCCTGCAGTCATGTGAAGGGTGATACTGAGATCTGGACTGCAGTATATAGGCCAAATCTGGTTCAAAGGCATTGATTTTACAAATTGGCTGCAAAAGGCCATGATCAATGTCACACTGCCAGATGGTGGCCACACACTGCTGCTGCCATCTTTTGGTAAAACATGAAATTGCATTTCTTAGGTGTGTACTTTACATAGACTAATAGACAATACTGGCAGGCTATAAGTAATACATTCTATGACGGAAGACATGAGCCATACAAAATTTGATGGTAGGCCATAATTGGCCCCTGGGCTGGATTTTGGATATGCCTGACCTAAATAGTAGGACTTGTATCTGGAAAAATTGTTGTTATGCTCAAAAAATTGTTAATGCAATATTCACTCCAAGAAACAATTATTCTTAGAATATAAAATATGCTTTGGCTTTAAAGAACCTACAAATGGTTGATAAGCCATAAAAAATAAATCAATGAATTCTACATGCTGTTCTGATCATGGATGATCTTCATGAGATCTCCTCTCTCTGATAAATCTCAGCAGCTTAACATTTGCCCATTGGCAGACATGGTGGTTGCAGCATATCAATATTCTCAAGAAAATCCACATAAGCAGACAAGTTAAAAAGAGGTTAGTTCCCGCACATGTATATCCTCATATTAAATTAAACCTGAAAATATCTTCTGTGAATTCTTTTAAGATTAGAGCTATAACAAAAAATGACTTTTGGGAAAATATGATCCCATTCAAAACATCACATGGGCAAAAAGCAGTTTCAGATATTGAAGTATTTTTCTTTTTATATATCAATCAAATATATAATAATAAAAAAATAGTGACAATTTACTCATACTTAGTATGAAAAACATGTAATAAGCAAGTCCTTTTTTTTCTTTCCTGTTCAGTCATACATGAACTCACTTATATATATTTATTTATTCATTTCACTCCAAGCAAGGCAATAGATCCACTAAGATGCAAAGGGTTACTGAGAGTCAAATAATGAGAAAAACAAAAATATTAGGGAGAAAGAACAGGAATTAGAAGACAGAAGGTAACACTTGAAATTGCATTTAAAGTTTTAAAGATGAAAGTTGGCAGGCAAAGAAGCCGGAAGAGTTCCACAAGTGACCATTGCAAGAGAAACAACAGAATTTATGGTTACAATGCTTAAAAAAAAATACAACTAATTTAATTTAATTTCAAACATAAAAAATACCTCTTAGCTTTTCAATTTCATTCAGATAAAAGAATGAATAAATCATTTGCTTCTTTTAGATTCACTTAATTTTATATCGCTTTTCTTTAGCTTAACCAATGATATGCCATGTCCCTTGAGAAAGTGGGCAATCTATCTCTCTCTCTCTCTCTCTCTCACTCACACACACACACGTTAAATATAACAGACAACAAAAGTCTATTATGTTTGATCATGATAGTGGCTTTAGTTTCAGAAGAAAATATGAACAAAATCTGTCCAATATTTGGATATTTTTATTATGCTGTTCCTCGATCTAAGCTTTTGGCTCACATGAGCCATCACCAGAGTGGTTATGTGGAGATGTGTGTGTGTGTGTGTATATATATATATATATATATATTCAACTCTCCCATCGTTTTCAATATACAATGGTCAAACAGCTCAGTTCTTAAAACCAACAGCCAGATTACCTGTATATATCCTTTGATTATAGTGATGAAGGTTTGTGCAGAACCAATCACAATCACACTTTTTTGCAGAGCCAAATACAGAGAACTGGTGCACAATATGCCACAAATGCCCTAAATGACAACTCCACAGGTTTTGAATTCAGAATTGCTCTTCTTCTAGACCATTTGCCACCCAAGGCTATAGAACCCAATCTATCCTCCTATTTAACCCATAGCTGGGAGAAGAGATGGATCATACCTTTTCCAAGGACATAATGAACCCGACTAGAATTCAAATTCAGTTCTTCAATTCCACAATCTGAGCCACTATTCATTACTCTAACGTGCCTCTCTACACACACACACACACACACACACACACATGGATACATGGGATGATTGAAAAGTAACTCCCTACTTTATGTACAAGAGACCAGTCAGTTGTCCTGACTTAACACCTTGTGACATTTTAATTTGGGTTTGGTTAATGGAGCATGTCTACTATACCAAACTAAGACCTTGGAAGAACTTGAAGGGTGAATACAAGAATTTATGTTTTTTATATCACAAGAGTTCCTGGTAAAATCAGTTTACATGATCCCTGGGCAGCTTGAGATGCTGGTAGCAAAAACAGGTGTCCATATCAAATTTTGAATAAAACCTTATGCTTTCATATCCCATCCATTTCTAGTAAAAATTATAGTTAATAAATAAATAAGTATTTTAAAACGGAAGTTACTTTTCAGTCACCTCTCTCTCTCTGTGTGTGTGTATATATATATATATATATATATATATATATATATATATATATATATATATATATATATATATATATATAAATAATCTCTTGTCATTTAACTGATTGATGTTATATTCAGCACCCTGACTTGAAAATTTCATAGGCAAAACTTTTTATAGTCATTCAGTCCACTCATCAGGATGTGCCATTGACACTGTAACACTTTTTACAGCACACAGTTACTACACTGATCTGAGGCAGAACTGCTGATCCATACATAAATAATCAATCGTCTCATTTTTTATGGGTACTGTGCTAGTTATAGAAATCAATAAGTAGGAAGTGACCATTGGTGGCTTTTAAGCAAGCTTGTACTAAAATATCATAATTTTTTATGGATATTCTGCTAGTACATAAAACAAGGGGAATAAACACTATACAAAAATAACTAAAATTTATATTGTTAATGCTTTTTATTTTATGCTAATTAAGTTTATAATATCTTCTCCATGACATAAATTTCAAGATTGCTATGAATGAACTAAATAGCTTATTGACTCTTACTCTTTTATAATTAGTTTTCAGCTGATGGGGATGAGTAGAGGTATGCTTGGAAATGTTTGACAATATTATCCATAAATGAAGTGTTATTTCTTGATATCTCCTCAAGAATGCCATCAGGTTATGAGGTCCATAATTAATAGCACAAGGCATCTGCACATTTGTTGCATCAAGAAATGTTACAGAAAGATGAAAAAAGCATTTCTTGAGTAATTTTTCTTTGATATTTTTTTTTTTTATATATATATATATATATATATATATATATATATAATTGAGAAGAAATTTGGAAATCATTTCAGAATCTGCAAATGGCAAGTGATTGGATTGGATAATCTGCTTCCTAGATTTTGTAATACATACAATTATAATTACAAGAACTTTAATAATTGATTTAAGTGCATTTGCAATAAAATAAATTTATGGATGTTTCTTGATTATATGACAATATTCTATTAATATTTAAACCATATATATATATATATATATATATTAAAAAGAAGAGATACCGCAAACATTTTTGGTTGCAATGTGTATTTCTAAAAAAATATTATGCTTTATTTTCCAATATTTTGTTACATGTGTTTCTGGTCTCGCGACCGTCATCAGGTAAAGGGTGGAGATTTCCACATATTATTAAAAATAATTCATTTTTTTCTCCTTTGTTTTTCGATGTTAAATATTCTCGATATGAGACATTCTCTTTCTATGTGTTAGTAATCCGAATTTCTTTCTTGAACTGGCAGTGAAGCGTTCTGCGTGAAGGGTCATAAAACAATTAAGATTGGTCTGAGAGAAATGTTGAATTAGTT